TTTTGCATTCCCACTTGGAAAGGATAATCAAAGTACAGTGTGGTGAAATACTGTACATGGCAGAGACTCAGGCTCAAGATACAAACTTTAAGACAGCTTTAGTTTTTGAAGACAAATCGCCCATAAAGCAGCATGGCGGCAAGGGCTAAGAAAACACAGTGTGCATAGCATCAAAGTGAGAAGATGAAAGACCAATAACATTTTTGCTAGTTTTTAAAAAGCGCTGGGAAAGAAAGTATTTTCAAAGGAGAAAATAAGCTTTTTTTTTCTTTTTTTTTCTTTTTCTTTTGTCTTCCTTACTTTATATTAGTTTTTATCTTCTTGTTTAAACGTTTCAATGAAAATTATATTTTAAAAAAAGAAAGGAGTCTTTTATGACAAAGTATCAGGCCATAAAACCACAGGATTACAGCAGAGAGTCATAAACAAGAGTAATATTAAACGATTCTAATCTAGCCTCACACATTGTATTTAGAAACTTCTTTCTATGATAAATTTTGGATACAGGGAAGTTCCTTGATAGAATACAAAATGGAATATGAGAATTATCTTCAATATACTTCCAAGAGTGGTGAGACTTTTAGGGGCAGCACAAATAGATTTAACTTTGTTTCAATAAGGCATGAGCTCTGGAAACTTCAGATCTACAAATGAAAGAGAATTTCATTTCCTTGTTTTGTTTTGTTTTGTTTTGTTTTGTTTTGTTTTGTTTTGTTTCGTTTCGTTTCGTTTCGTTTCGTTTCGTTTCGTTTCGTTTCGTGGACAGTGATATTGACTCCGAAGGAAAAAAAACAAAGTAAACTGTAGGAGAGATTGGATTGGATTGGATTGAATACTTTATTTGGTCACAAGGAATTTTGTGTATGGAGAAGAATAAAATATAAGCTTTATATAGATTTTCCCAAAAATGTTTATATGTGTTAGGACATGCTTTGAAATTATTTACACTGCAGTTTACTCTGGAGCTAACAGAGTTAGCTCATAGTAGACCATATGATTTGGATTAAGTGTCACATAGTCACAGAGCACATACATCTTCTGAATTTGCTTTTTTGCTCCTCGGGTACATTCATTTCACAATTACTATTTATTTGAATATGTTTTAATATGCAAATCAACGCAGTGCCTGCAATGAAACATTGAACAAGGAAATAAAATATGTGAAATGCCCCAATTATCTTTATTGTAGTCTACTTGTTTTGGAAAGAGTTTCAGATTAGGCCCAGATTAATGAATAGCCCTTTTTATGGTCTCTGCATACTTTGGATTGAAAACAAACATGTGTTTCAATATCAGAGGTGGTATTCAGCAGGTTCTGACCAGTTCCGGAGAACCAGTAGTGGAAATTTTGAGTAGTTCGGAGAACCGGTAAATGCCACCTCTGACTGGCCCTGCTCCCATCTATTCTCTGCCTCCTGAGTCCCAGCTGATTGGGAGGAAATGGGGATTTTGCAGTAACCTTCCCCTGAGTGGGGAGGGAATGGAGATTTTATAGTATCCTTTCCCTGCCACACACACCAAGCCACGCCCACCAAGCCATGCCACGCCCACCAAGCCACGCCCACAGGACCGGTAGTAAAAAAAAATGAATTTTTTCCACCACAGTTCAATATGTCTCATGTTGCAAATGTAGCACCTGCCTGCAAATCTTTCAATCAAGCACATTTTTCCAAGACTGTATGATAGCCATACAAACTTGAAAAAAGCTACTACTTCTATTTTTAAGGATTTGCAAAGGGAATCTGTCTTCTTCCCCAATACACTCCAAAATGTTGGTCAGCCCTATTGTAAATTATAATTATAGGTTTTTCATGCCAATCTACTATCATGCTAAAACTATACTACATCCACCTGGGTAACAAAGAATGACTTGTTTAAAAGGAATAATAGCTGGGAATTTAAATATCAAATGCATTTTCATGAAATATTCCGATTAAATTTACAGACATTTCTGACCACCTTGGCTTAATAATTCAACTCTCAGTTTTAGCTGACTTTAAACAGTTGTCAGCTGACGACTAAAACCAAAGAATGAAAGCTGGGTGTAATTATGGATTTGCGCAGTATGTGCTTCTCAGCTATTTTAATACGATATATGTGGGCCTCCAAATCCCAAGTTGCTTGTTATTAACTTTCACTTTTATAAGAAAATATGTGCCAAAAATGAATCTAAATTCCTGAGGTTTTATTGTATTTCATTGAAGAATATGATTTATTTGAAGTAAAATTATTTTGTTTGAAGCTTTGTGCTTATCCAGCTGTAAGCTAAGAGGCTGTAATAATTACAGAACAATATTTCACATAATCATATACTGAAATTTGAATGCTGGAGAAAATGTGATTTTTCTTGGAAAGGAAATTTACCTTGAAGGAAGATATTGGAATGTTAAGCAGTTGATAACAATTTCATTTTTACTATTCAATAAGCACATCTTGTTTTTGAAATGAATGTTAGTTAAATAATGGGATTTCAGAATCTTGAAACAAACACTCCATCTAGTGTACAATTACCAATATTGCTTCTTAGTTCCTATTTTCTGCTGCCTGTGAATTGTGAAAGGTTCATAATCCATAGAAATTATTATTATACTTTAGAAAGAATTCCATGTACACTTTCCCTGAATATTTTAAGGAGAGAGTTTGACACTGGAGAGATTAGAAAGATATGAAGCTTCAAAGAATAGTTTCTCAAATATTTCTGGTTAAAGGTCTGCTTGCCAGAAAGGGTGGCTCTTCATATAGAAAGCTGTTCATGAATAAGCTTATTATGTTATTGCCAAACAGTTAGGAAACAGTCTAAAAGGCTATTTAAAACACCCTCAAGTTATGCACTCCTAAATTATTTAAATCTACTGAGGATTTAGACAGGTTTACGGGTGAATAAAACTAAGGGAGTCTTTTGCTGAAATACTGTAGCAGAAAAAGATCAGAAGCAAAGGGTTCCTGAAACATCTTTGAGGAGTATAATAAGTGACCAAATACTTGAATTTATCACTGTTATAATTGATGATTTGCAAACCTCTAAATGCTTTCAAAATAATAAAAATTAATTTTATTAGGAAAAATAGGTCATCACTGTTTTTTTTTTTTTTATTTTCATTAGTTTCAGGTAATAAAATAAGCATTTTATGAGATTCATTCCTGGCATAGTCTCTATGGTAGTTTGGCATGTTTTTATTTTTTTTCTGGAGCCGTTTCCAAGTACCTTTGAGAGCTTATCAATTGTCATCTTGGGTTATTCTAATAATCGATGTCAGGGCCATATGCCTATTAGACTGGTATGCTTACTTAGAAAGAGGCCAGATGTTTAAAGATTAGACAAACAAGCATGATGCTGAAAACATAATATTCAGAGGCTTCCTCTCAGCATCATTTTTCCATACAAACTGTTTCAGAAAACAAAAAAGTAGTGCAAATATGTTTGCAGTGAAAGCAAAAGTACTATTAATGGGACTGAGGATTAGTAGCATTTATTACTTGGGCTAATTCAATATGTTTGCAGTGAAAGCAAAAATACTATTAATGGGACTGAGGATTAGTAGCATTTATTACTTGGGCTAATTCATGTTGTTTTGTGACAAGAAAACTCTGTCTGATGATGCTAATATTGGCTTTCAAATATCATGGTGACACACCATGTACTACTCATATGTATAAGATTTGAAGAAAACTGATACACAAGGTATTACACATTATTGGTTGTCTAAATTATATTGGTTTAATAAGAAGAGAGCAATTTGTAGGACTGCCATTGACAGTCACGGTGAACCCAATTCTTATAGACCAATGAAGGGTAAGAACAACTCTTTTTAAAAGCAAGTTAACCAAAAATATTTGTATAATTTTCATGATGATAGTATACCACTTTCTGAGACCATAAAATTAAATATGTATTTCTATAGCATAACAGTGACTTTGTAAAACTGACTAGATTTCTTGAATAATCTTACTATTTCTTCTTTGAAAATTTTGGTCATCTATCAAAAGAGCATTCCTAATTTGTAAATAGCAATACTGGAAACCAGACTTTAAGGGAATTTGAGTATTTTTCTTACAGATACTGGCCCTTTTGTGCTAGATTTTGTACTACTACATTTAGGTTCCAAACATAGGCATTCTTGTATAAATTGGAGAAAATTTATCCTCACAAGATAGTGTGTGCCTGTGATCTGGATGATGTGTTTTTATTTCCCCTCACTTAAACATGGCCTCTCAATCTTGTAGGGCATCAGACCTGGAATGACAATATCTGAAAGCCCTGAGTTCTTCAGCTCTACCTTATGGTTCCTTGAAACTGTTGTTCTCCGGGGACAACTAAGTCTTCAGGAGAAGAGTTCTCTCAATGAAGAATTCTCTAGCACAGAAATAACACAGGGATCCTTAATAAACAGGGATTCTTCCTGCCATAAACCCAGGCCCTAAAAGACTCAACAAGTATGGGCTGCCATTTCAAATTTGTCAGTATATTCATACTTCCTTTTAATTTTTATCTTATTTCACAACTTCTTTTAATGTTTTGTTATATTACTATGCAAACTTTTCCATTAAATATCTGTATTTTATCATTTTTAGGCATTTGCCTTTTCTTTCTCTTTTTTCAAAATAACTACATTTTTACAAAAATCTTGAAAGCCTCCCCCTTATTCATTTTTCATCAAAACATCTTCCAAAGCACTGTTGGAAACTCAAATTATATTTCCACTGAAAATCATCATTTTAATATTCTGCAATGTAATGGAACAATTTGCCCAAAGCAATATTATAAATATAACTTAGCAATTCATTGTTATCTTTATGCTTCCAAAGCTAAAATTTCAGAAATACTGTAGGGACCCATAAGACCTACAACCAGCTCTGTTTGCTTTAATGCAGAATAGCTAAAAAGATTACCAAAAGGAAATACCTTCTTACCAGGGATAATTTTCATTGTCCAAAATTAAGTTTCTTACACTTGTTCTTGCTGTTCTTCTGTTTTGAGAATGATTTATTTGTTGTTGCAGATTATGACTATATTGCTAGCACCTACATGGCTAATCATTTACCTTGGGCTACTGAGATCTATCCAAGCTGGTGCTTATTATGGGATCAAGCCGATGCCTCCTCAAGTGCCACAGTACCAACCCCTCGGGCAACAAGTACCTCATATGCCATTGGGTAAAGATGGAGTGCCAATGCAGCACATGGGAAAGGAGGGGCCACACCTATCATATGGAAAAGAATATATACCTCAGTATATAAAAGAAATTCCACAGATCCCCATGCTTGGCAAGGAGAGGATTTCAAAGAAACAGAAAGGTAATATGGGCAAGATGTGAAGTAGGTTGGGCTTGGTGACTGGACCAAGATGAGGTTGGAGTTGAAAATGACCCTTTCTGGTCCTCGTCCAGAATCCTAATTATTACATTATATAGGATGGAAGAGAAGGCAAGTTTCATATATTGAATATAACTATACCCAAATGCGTAGAGTATATTGCAAAAGTCAACATTTGTGAAGAATATTTTGTTGAGGGTTTTTTTGGGGGGGGGGGTTGGGAAAAGGCAAGACCACTTGTGCATTTATTCTGAAACCCCTATGAGCTTAAATTTACAGAGAGTTGGCAACAAGCCCAGATGTTTAAATATCCCCCTTTTTCCAACTCTTCTATTTCTAATTGTGCACCAGAATTGGTAATTTTCCTCACTGTTAAGTTTATTCTGTCCTGTTACCAAAATGTTCTCATACCTGCTTTAGGCAGAGTGAGATGGCTGCCTCAGAAGGCAGATTCTGGAGTGTGATCCTGTGAGAGGCCATTGGCAAGCAGCTTGTTGTCTTTATTGCAATAGAAGACATTGTCACTTTCACTAAAGCTGAAGTACAATTTTAGTGAAATACAGAGAGTGGCAGGGGAGTGCAGCTTGTCCACTCCCATTTTCACATCCTTATCTTTCAGATTCGGAGAAGTTACAAAAGTGATATTTTCCAACAAGTCATTTTTCTTTACTTTTCTAGATTTTGCTGCATCAAAACACATAGAAATATCAACTTGAATATGGGTCTAATTCATCAGGAACAATTTAGGAAAGCAAAAAAATAAATAAAATAAAATTGGGGCCAGCAGCATTGATCACAAAATTGCTAATGGTCTTTGAAAGGAGGTAATCCATCCTTCCTTTTGAACATCAACTGTGCTGTAAAAATAATCCAGCCAGTAGGCTGATACATCAATTCCTCTTGAAACATATTGGTGACATCTAGAGCAGTCAAGATGAAAATTAATATTCCTTTCTTTCTTTCTTTCTCTTTCTTTCTTTAAAAAACAGAATTGCCATTAGCCAGTTTGAGAGGTGAACAGGGTCCTCCTGGAGAGCCTGGAGCAAGAGGGCCTCCAGGATCTCCAGGGTTGCCAGGACATGGAGTACCAGGAGCTAAAGGAAAACCAGGACCCCAAGGATACCCAGGAATTGGAAAACCAGGCATGCCTGGAATGCCAGGAAAACCAGGAGCAATGGGGTCTCCAGGATCAAGAGGTGAAATGGGGCCAAAGGGGGAGAGTGGATCTATGGGAATTCCAGGACCCCAAGGACCACCAGGACCTCAAGGACTGCCTGGAATAGGAAAACCAGGCGACAGAGGATTACCAGGACAACCAGGAACAAAGGGCGAGCCAGGAATGAAAGGGCAACCTGGGATACAAGGCGCCCAAGGCCCAAAAGGAGATAAAGGTGTGGGGATTCCAGGGTTACCAGGGCTAAAAGGGCCACCTGGTTTACCAGGTCCTCCCGGTCCTGTTGGACTTCCTGGAATAGGCAAACCAGGAATGATAGGGTTTCCAGGCCCTCAGGGAGCTGGAGGCAAGCCAGGAATTCCAGGGGAACGAGGGCCACAGGGCTTAGCTGGGATTCCTGGAATTCAAGGTCCTCCTGGTCTTCCAGGTATAGGGAAGCCAGGACAAGATGGAATCCCAGGACAGTCAGGTATGCCAGGTGGGAAGGGGGAACAAGGCCTGCCAGGTTTACCAGGACCACCTGGTGCTCCTGGGATTGGAAAATCAGGTTTCCCTGGTCTTAAAGGTGATCGAGGCATGGGTGGTGCTCCAGGCCCACTGGGACCTAAGGGTGAAAAAGGTCACGTGGGACCACCTGGCATGGCTGGGCCTCCAGGGGAACCAGGCCAACCAGGCCAGCCTGGATTAATGGGGCCCTCAGGTGTGATGGGATTCCCAGGTCCAAAAGGAGAATTTGGAGCTGTTGGGCCTCCAGGACCTATTGGTCCCAAAGGTGAGCTTGGTTTGCAAGGTTTCCCAGGTAAACCTGGTTTTCCAGGAGAGGTGGGCCCACCAGGTCTGAGAGGCTTGCCTGGTCCAATTGGACCAAAAGGAGAAGCTGGTCACAAAGGTTTGCCAGGTTTGCCTGGTGCTCATGGGCTGATGGGCCCCAAGGGAGAACCTGGAAAGCCAGGAACTCAAGGCCATCAAGGCCCTACTGGAATCCCAGGTATTGCAGGACCAAGTGGTCCAATTGGACCTCCTGGACTACCTGGAAGTAAAGGTGAACGGGGTTTGCCAGGCCCACCAGGTTTTCCAGGAATGGGGAAACCTGGTGTTTCAGGGATGCCTGGACCACCAGGGAAACCTGGATCACTTGGTGCTCCTGGCCAGCCAGGTCTCCAAGGCCCTCCTGGTCCCCCTGGCCCTCCTGGCCCTCCAGTAATAATGCAACCTACGCCGCCAGAAATAGGACAGTATTTGCCAGAGGTAGGACCAGGCCTTGATGGAATAAAGACTCCATATGGTTATAAGGGGAAGAAAAGCAAAAACAGTGCCGCTGCTGCCGCCGCCGCCGCCGCTGCCTATGAGATGCCGGCTTTCACGGCTGAGCTCACCACTCCTTTTCCACAGGTCAGGGTTCCTGTGATGTTTGACAAGCTCCTTTATAATGGCAGGCAGAATTATAATCCACAGACTGGTGTCTTTACCTGTGAAATCCCTGGGATCTACTACTTCGCTTACCACATACACTGCAAAGGGGGAAATGTCTGGGTGGCATTATTTAAAAACAATGAGCCGTTGATGTACACGTATGATGAATACAAGAAAGGTTTCCTGGACCAAGCTTCTGGAAGTGCCGTTGTTCAGCTGATGCACGGCGACAGAGTTTATATCCAGATGCCATCTGAACAGGCGGCGGGACTTTATGCCGGGCAATATGTTCACTCATCTTTTTCTGGATATTTATTGTATCCAATGTAAACTGCACACTCAGATCAAATGAGAGCTCTTTTTTCTGTGTTTCCAAATTTATACCATTGAAAGGTGCATTTATTGATCATTTCTGGACCAACATGTACAATATTAAAATAAAATTACAAATTTAAACAGTCTATGTACAGCTTGTTATAAAGAAAAACTATCAATAAGTCCAGAATTAATTGGCTTGCTGCTGTACAATGAATCTTTTCAACATTTGTCTGCTTTTTTTGCATTAAAAATAATGTCATGTCAGGGTTTCCATAAAGTGCTTACTGATCACTTGCTTCTAAGGTGAAACTTTCAAGTGGAAGGTGATAGACAAAGATACAAACATTTATTCTATAATACTATAAAGATTTCTTTATAACAAAAACTGCAATGACTTCAAGAAGGCTCTGTAATCATGTACCAACTTCTCTTTGCCAAAGTTTCTATTTTTATGTGAAGATTTTAATCTGGTCATATTGACAAAAATAGTAAAAAAGGACAAATCTCAGTGTTAGAAAGCAATTTAATTATTAGCAAATTGACTGAAATCCAAGGCTTTGATTTCTTTTCCCCAGCAAGCAATAGGCCGTATTCATATTGCAAGTAAATGTTTATATTTCTAGATTGGTTTGTGGAATAGTTTAAATCAATGACTTAGAGGTAAAATGGTATTTACAAACCAAGTAATGTTAGTGCAGCACAGATTAACAGTTGCATATTGATTTATGATTCACAGAAAATAAATACAGAAAATGCCAATGTGTATCTGAAATCAGGCAAGGCTGAATTATATGATACACAAGTAGTGAATGGGTGATCCTTTTTCATTTGGAAATCATTGTTGCAAGTTTTTATCAAGAAATGATAAGACTGAATGTTTGATATGCTCAAAATGGAAGTTTATTCGTTGTTCATTTTCCTAGATCTTTTAACAAATACTGGAAAAGGTGACTAGCAATGACTGAGAATAGCACAGTCCTTTAGTTTTGCACATTGTGTGATGTATCCAGTATGAGTGGCATAAAGGCAATGGGATATAATAGAGTAACTATCTTCAGTTCAACTATCCTATGGATTATTCCTAAATGCCTATTTTGGCTTTTAAATACATGGAGGTTAGAAAGTCATATATTTGTGGGAGTAGCAAAATACTGTGGCTATTATTATTTCATCCTGAATAAAGTCTATCTATCTGGTTGCCAAGAATTGACACCAATTTAATAGCACATACATAATAGCGTTTATTGATTATTAGTGACACACTTATGCTATGCCAATAATTATGACACCTAGGTTCTTTGGAAGTGAGTATGAAGGCCAACACAGCTAAAGATCTGGCATCTGTAACTTCACATTGTTGTGTACATAATAATAATAATAATAATAATAATAATAATAATAATAATAATAATAATAATAATAGAAAGAGGCATGGCAAAGTATTATATGGTCATTACATTAAGAAAAATTGCAGACAAAGCAAATAAAAACAAATGCTGGCAACAATTAAGAGTAGGAAAGTCGAAAAAGAGACAGATGGGCTAATTCTGACTATGCAAGACCTTGCTGCAGAAACAGTGCATCAAAGTTGACACAGATTGACAACAAGCAATGGCCTAACAAAGTAGCAACAATGGTACATTGTGACTGTACATATCTGCAAGAAATACCACTTGCATGTAAGCAAGAACTGGTAGAACCACAAAATGCTAGTAATAGAATGTGATGAAGCTAAAGTGTCTGGGACTTTAGAGTTCAAACATACAAAGACTTGACACCTAACACACCAGTCTTCATGATTATGGATAATACAAAACAGTCTGGATAGTGGATAGTACACTAGAACAGGGGTGTCAAACTCACGTCATCCTGTGACATCACATGACGTATTGGGACTTTTGTCGGCTTTGCTAAACTGGGGGTGGGCGTGGCCAGCATGTGACACATCCAGCCCACAGGCTGTGAGTTTGACATCCCTGCACTAGAAAGACAACAGACTAGAAGAGAAAGAACTGGAGAAAATAAAAGAAATATAAAGACCGGTAAATAGAGGCCGAATGACTGTGTCAAAAGAAAGCAAAACTAATACCAATAGTTTTAGATGCCTTGGGTGCAATCCCAAAACGTTTGGAGCATCAATTGAACACCATCTGCATTGACAAAATCACCATCAGTAAATTGCAAAAGGCAGCTTTACTTGGAACGGCTTACCTCCTACCATGATATCCTTAACATCATCAAACAACATCTGCCTATCCCAGGTCCTTCAGAAGTACTTAATAGGTGGCAAACAATGCCAAATGAAGTCTTAAAATCTGGCCAACTATGCAACCGACCATAATAATACATTAACTATTTCCAGTCTGCCACTAAAGATAAAAGTCTTCAAAGAGACACTGACATAATAAAATCCTATTCAAGAATAAAATGGCAAAAATAAAATAAAATGAAATTAACAAACATACAGCAGTTATAACAAACATCCAGCACTGACCGTTTTAAAATCTAAACCAGCTGAAACTCAAACCAGTCCATTAAGAGATGTACGTGAAAGAGTAAAGAGAATACCTCAGATTTCTAAGCTTGCAACGGATCCTGTATAGCAACCCATCTGAGAAGCAACCCATATGATGAAAGGCTTCATTTTTGTTTTCTTATCTATTTAACAGTCTTCAAAGATTAGCACATGAGAAGGACTTCCATAAAAGTATTAGTGAGTCCCAATAGAAAACACTCCCAATTACCATTTTGAGTTAACACAGATTCTAGAAGGATACTTGAAGGACATAGATGTACCTGAATAGATTGTGCTGAAATTCTGTGGCTCTTCTTCTTCTTGTGCCATATCCGTCATCGGACGTTGGCGATCGTGCTGGCAATCCTATTTTTGTCAACAGTCATTTGAAAAAGTGCTGCTGAGTTTTGTCCAAACCAGTCCCTAAGGTTTTGAAGCCATGATCATCTTCTTCTGCCTGGACCTCGTTTGCCTTCAATCTTTCCTTGGAGGATTAAGTGAAGGATGCCGTATTTTTCTGGGTGTCGCATCACATGTCCAAAATATTCTAACTTTCGCTTTTTAATGGCTTTATTTCCCTTTGCTTTCCCAGGTGGCTTATCACCTCATTTGTGATTTTGTTAACCCAGTTTATACATAACAGTCATCTGTAAATCCACATTTCAAATGCTTCTAGTTTCTTAAAGTGGTTTTCTGTCAGAGACCAATTCTCTACTCCATAGAGCAGGATATGTGCGGCCATCTGTGGCTCTGCTGAACAATATTTGCATGTATAAGAACTATAACTGGGATTACTCTGTTGATCAAGAAATTACCATGTGGATTGGTTGTTTAACAGGAGGAACTGCAGAGGACTAACTTCATCCTTTTTTCTGCTTAACAGAAATCTTGTGGTGAAAACTCTATCCAAATTTCAACACCATTGCGTGCAGAGCCACCTGTTTGATTCACAGAGGATATGTTGGATGCTGCATGTGTAGGGCTGCCCAGATCTCATCGATTGCACATATTCAAGAAGTGCAAGGACTCCTGGGGAGACAACTATGTTAGAGTAGGAATGTCTGATCTCCACTCAGGATTTAACCAAGTTAATCTCTGCTCGTTACTTGAAAAGTTATAGACAAAGGATATATTCAGGAAAAGCTTAAAAAGGGACTCCCTTTCTGCCATGCCTAACAAAACTAACTATTATTCATGGCAGCCATATAGCTAGAAGTAGCCTTATATGGATGAAATACTCATTTGCATACCTTAGTCCTCATCCAGATGGGTGGTTTGAGTAGAAACATCTATGGTACAGAAGTACTTCTAGCTTTATTGGAGTTGAGGGATTAATGGACTTGGCCATTCTAGTTCCTTTGACAGCTTGATTTTTCCTTGACATAAGAAAAGTAATCTGAGTTATTTAACATCCATGCTTTTTCAGTGTCGCATATCATATTTGTTTTAAACATTCCAGCTAGACAAATCCTTATTGTTCCTATATCTTAAATGAAACTTCCATGCTTAATTGAAAGATTATCCTAATATTCCCTATATCAGGAAAAATTATCCTAATACAGATGTATACAAATTGTGAGTGGAATTTCCATTATTTAAATCTTAATGCATTACAGCACAAACTGTTTGAGAACAATGGGCAATTCAAAGATCTTTAGGCCAGATTACTAGGGTAAAGAAATAAAAAATGAAAATAAGAAATAATTTTGTATTTACATTTTTGTACTGATTGCAAAAGGTCTCATTAAATAACTTTTTACAATGTTTTGGTATTTTATTTCAATTATTTCAGAAATGCAAAACAAGAAATCAAGTTTTCTGAAATGTGTTACTTGTGGTTCCTGCAAATTATCCTCTACAATTATTTATTGCACTTGCTTGCTATCACAAAACTCATTTTTATTGCTCACACTACATACGAACACCAATTATGTAGGGAAAATGACCGCTGTATTAATTGATCATAACTACTCTGCCTGGCCACATCCAATGTAGTGCAAGTTCTGAAAAGAAAAAAGAACAATTTACCCTATGCATACAACCTTACAGTACTTTAAATATTTAATTTCCCATGAAGGGAGTTTCTGCATGTAAAATAGATATCTTAAATAAATAGCAGGGAATGCAACTGGGAAAAAGAAGGTAGCAGGAAGTACTGTTCAATTTAGAACACACAAACAGGGCAAAAGTACTAGTAAATAATTAATAAGGAAAGGATGCTAATTGTTATTGCATCTGCTGTGACAAATCACTTGCGCTGGAAAACCTAAAAAACCATAAACCACCCATTCAGCAGCCTGTCTCTGCTATCATCATAAGGTACACACACACACACACAAAACAATAATGCTCATAAATGTGTATAAAATGATGTATGGGATAGTGACATTGCTTGAAAGATGCATTTTTCTCTCAGGAATAAGACTGGACTCATGAAACTGTATACTGCAGTTTCAGATCCGATATTATTTATCTCATATGCAATTAAATTATAGAATTCATTACCGGAAGTAAATAGTGATCACTTTAGACGATAAGATTATCAACTCATATAACGTATGTTATTAGACTATATTCTAATATTGGAGGCAGCATAGCTCTCAGTTCTAATTGTTGAGGTACAAGAACTACAGGTTGCTAAACAGGACCTTCTGGTGTAGTCCTCGAGGATATTTCTTTAGCTATGATGAAAGATAAACCCAGAATTTATTTATCATATTTAAGAACCGCCATCTTGCTCACAGAGAGACTTAGGGCAATGTGCAATAAAAGTAAGGTGGAACCATCTTCCGGAGGATTCATCCTGGAAAAACATTAAACAAGGTTGAAATGTTCTTTTCTGGAAATGTATTCAAACATTGGTGTTTTCCCCTTTCTGTGTTAAACAATCAACTTTCTTAAAATGACTGCATGTTAAACACCATTGCTGAAAACATTAACAATCATTTTACTCACTAAAATTTACCAGTTAAAAAGACCCTTACCAGCAGCATAGCAATTAGAAAAAATCTTGAAACTATTAAAACCAGTCTTACATTATTTATTTAATTTTGAACACACAACTCAGTGATGGGAGGAAACTTTTAGACTAACATCTTTTTCCCATATTTATAATTATTACATTAATATTAGATTAGTAATATATAGTATTTATTATTTTTACATGTAACAGATCTGGCCTGAAAATGCCAAGATCACCATGAAGGAGTAGGAAAAAGCTTTTTGTAATAGTTTTTATTATTCAATGAACAGAAATCGATCTTCTGGAGAAGGCAAATATTGCCAGCTGCTATGGACAACAATTCATAAAAAAGGTAGGCGGAAGCAGAAAGTACACTAAGTAACTTTATTGAAATAAAAGAATCATATTTTGTTCTGGGCATGATGATTATTTACTATTCATGGAACTGAAAAAAAAAATCTGTTATCAGGCATACAACTCCTTATCAGTTATGAAAAGAAAAATAGATGTTTATTACCAAGATGGGGGAGGGGGGGAATCCAAAGTCCTTCTTAAAGCTGTTTTTTAAATAGCATGAAATTGTTTTATTTTAATTAAAATAGCAAGGTATCATTTATTGTTATATCCTACTAGACATTTTAAAAAGCCTTTTTAAAAAACTGTTGATTTTTGCAAAATCCTATAATGCTAATTATAATTAATTATAATTAATTGTAATTCAAAACAAAACTTTTATTACCAAAACCCACTTTACTATAAAACTGTAAACAGTGGGGGTATTTCATAATTACCCAAGGAACATTATATTATGGGATATAGAGTGTGAATATTATTGGGATATTTTAGTAGAGATAATATTGTATTGGGAAGCACTATTGTGGGATAGCATAGTTCTGGCATAGTGTAAAATCTGTATTTATGTGTGGGATGTCCGTATGATATATGAATCATATCATTAGCAGTGTAAATGCATCTATATTGATCTGCACAATATTTCAAAAAGCAATAAACACAAGCATTTATTTACATATTTATTATAACAAAAATAATTCTCTTTAACATCTAATATTTTACACAAATAATTACAACAGGTTTAAAATTTGCCTTTGGACATAAAAAAAAAAACAAAGTTGAATAGCCACTTAACAGCACAAATGTTACTCCCAAAACATTTTCAGAAAGTAGAAATGGTTGCTTAACTGTTAAGAAACTTGAAGGCTTTGGGGAATACAAACAGCAGATACTTAATGCAACAGAAGTAATAATACTACTTTAATTTCCAAATTAAATCATCACATTTCAGAGGATAATCAAAATTCAATGTTAGCAACAACAACAACAACAAAGACTCAGCCCAGTGAAAAATTCAAGGGTTTATATCTTCCACAATTTGTTTCCAGTCTCATGTATATTCTATTAAATTATAAAATAAATTAAGAAAAAGTGAAGCTACTTTCAAAGAGTGAGACTTATATCTCCTTAGTTCAATTTTAAATGGGCAAAGTCAGAATCTTTAATCTGAAAATATCTAGATAATAATAAAAGTTAATCTTTTGTGTAGTACTGTTGAGATGATAAACAAGACAATAGCAGTACATCTGTTCACGTAACATACAAAATATGGAATGTAGCTGAATCCAAGGGGCACTAGAAAAGAAGACTGTCTCATGTCCATATCTGAATGTGGGCAGAATTAACCCTGCGAAGGATATGTAGAAGTGGGAAATGCAGCAAGTCTTGCTTGTGGTGCATGATACACCATCTGAAATGTCCTTTTCTTAACATTAGCTTTATTTTGCATCAATCCTGAGACTACAGTGCTCTACATGTGGAATTTACAAGACAGAATAAAAATACAAATAGGCCTCAACATTGCAGGCCAAGTGCACAAGAAACTTTTGGAAAGACACAGTCTATTTAAGCATCTCTAATGATAGCAACTATTCATTATATAGATGATTTGTAGATTTGACAAAGGTGCCAAGTACCTCTTTATAAGGAACAATATTTTTTTGTTTTTAATGCATTTAATAGGTGGTAATGGCTATGCCAGGCACAAGTCAGTGTAAAATAAGGATATATTTGGAGTAAGTTTCCATGCATTCCTTAATTTAGCATAAGGAACCTATTTTGGCCCTAACTTATCCTGGACAAACAAGCTGAAAATCTTATTCATCAACAGCCAGCAAAGTGAAATGCAATGTGAATATGCATCCCTCTATTATGTTTCCCCCTCCTTTTCTTCCCACATTAACATATCTCATGTATTCATTCAAACATGCATATTCTTACATGGCAGAGAGGCTTCAAAAAAAACCTCCACTGCTATCAGTATTTCAAAATAAGCCTGATTACTAATTTTCTAAAAGAGATTTGAATACCTCCTCAGCAGCAATTTGGTTTCAAAAATGTTGCCCAAGCCCCACACAACAAAGACCTTTTAAAATATGCCACAAAGAAGTTACTTGAAAGCCTTGAAAAGAAGAGGAACAGCTATTGTCTCCAATTTGGTGCTACTAAAAATAAGATTTTCTTTTTGATTGGGACAACAGATAGGAAAATAGTTGGAGAGGATCAAGGACTTTGGAGAAGTGACCAAGAGCCTTCTAATATTGGCTCAAGTTTGCCTGTGTCTATATTATATCATAAGACCATAGATATTCTATACTAGAATATACTACATACTATATTATGGGACCAAAAATATTAAAATCATTTATTTTTAATAGAAGTAAAAGAATTGGCCTGTAAAACATAAAAACATATTGTTGTATGTGTCAGCTAAGTAGTTTTCCAATATTTAGGGCTATAAATAATGTCTGGAACTGCTCATTGATGTTTATAAGAACTTTTGGAGCATATCCCACTATCTACCTCAAACCCCCTCAGAAATTTCAAAGCACTATATTAAGCAAAATTAACAAGTTAAGAAATTATATGTTTTCTAAAGAGTCAAATATTGATTTAGAGAAGAGAGGGTAAAATAAAATCCAAACAAACTCAATGATTTAGGAAGACTGTTCTACTAGAAGAATACTATCATCTGTTACTTAAAGAGATTTTGGACCCTTTATACATCTGCATTAGTAAACCAAAGAATGTCAAATAGCTTTGATGGAAATATTATAAAAGCAGAATACTTGCTACTAAAAGGTGAACAAGTGAAATAAGAATTTGTTATTCCTTAGCTAAGCTGTTCCTTCAAAAATTGTTTCTGAAAAATGCAGGTGTCTAAATTACTGTAGGGATTCTACTTTTACTAACTCTATGGTGTCTTTGACAACAATGCAGAGCTGACCTTAAAGTTAAAGATAAAAATTGAGAGCAGAAAATACAATTAAAGTAGAAAAAAAAAACCTGAAACATTTGGGATAAACAATTTTAACAGCATTCTGAACAAGGCCCAAGAGTAACCTTCTACAGCAGTGGTTCTCAACCTTTGTAGCTTGAAAATGGGTGGGCTTCAACTCTCAGAATCCCCCAGCCAGCACTTTGTAACTTGAAGATGGGTGGGCTTCAACTCTGAGAATGCCCCAGCCAGCACTGCTGGGGGATTCTGAGCGCTGGCTGGGGGATTCTGAGAGTTGAAGCCCACCCATCTTCAAGCTTCCAAGGTTGAGAAACACTGTTCTACGGTATGTCGTATTTTAAGTGGGGATGTTCACTGGGGGAGAGTGGGAGGAGGGATAAAATAGTTTGCATTCACTTAATTGCACTGCACATTAAAAAAAAGGCTGGTGGAACATTGATCATATAATCATGGTCACCATTACGACTTTTTAAAAATTCTCCCTGCAGATGCTCCTGATTTAAGCATCTATTGCAACATCTTGAATACATATTAATTACTTCAAGACAATTTTATAATTGCAACATGCAGGAAATTCAGACCAGAGTGACTGCTTTACTTTCATTGTTCCATTATTTAAAATGAAAACTGCTTTGCTCGTAAGCCATTTTTTGCACTATATTTAACATTGTTCAGTAGTTATCACTGTGTCGCTTTAACTGATGCACACATCACCTTACTGAAAAAGTCATCGATTGCAGTCGATGCAGTTTAAACAAGATTTAGAAACTAATTATATGCATTTCCAGCACTCCATCATGGAGAGCAAGTGTATTAATTTTTTTAGCGCTTCACTTTTTTTTTTTTACTCATGATTGAAATTCAACAGAAGGGACATTATATATTGTTGCCTGAATAACATTTTATCTTGACCTCTATGTATCTGCATTGCAAGATGAAGGTACAACGTGACATCATGTGGAAAATGGTAAACAGAAAACTAAGAGGAAATAATAGTTTCTTGTTAAATTAATATAGCCAACATTTTTCCATTACTAAATTAACATGTTTGTGTAAATGACTGTGAAAGTTACTTTCTGGGAAAACACTAACAGTAAGGCAGAGACATTCTTAGAAGATATGTGAGATATATTTATATTTTTTAAAAATGGAAAATTTCTATAAATACTTTATTAAAAAAATAATTCAAATAAAAATAATTCCCCCATTCAGTTTTACAAAAAAGTGATTGCTCTTTAATTTGGTTCTTCTGTGAGATTGATCACAATATGGCGATCTATAAGGTTCTTCAAAAGTCTTTGCTCTGCAACAATATCGTGGTATTCATTCTGCAAAGAACAATAAAAGAAAAATACAAAACTCAAAAATACAAATATTTTGCAACCTTTTTTTTTTTTTTTTTTTTGCCAACAGTAACTATTTATTTATTTGATTTCCATACCGCCCATCTCAGCAAATGACTCTGGGCGGCTCACAAGTCAGAAATGTGCACTATAATCAAAATCTTAAAAACATTTAAATAAAATAAAATAAAATAAAAACCGTTAAAACACTAAAAAAATGTTAAAATGTCTAATGTGAATACATACAAAGCAAGACATCAGGCCTGTTAACAATATAGTCAGGAAGCAGCGCAGTGGTAAAATCCAAATTTTTTTACTACCGGTTCTGTGGGCGTGGTGTGGTTTGGTGGGCGTGGCTTGGTGGACGTGGCAGAAGGATACGGCAAAATCTCCATTGCCACACCACTCCAAGGAAGGATGCTGCAAAATCCCCATTCCCTCCCCACTCCTGGGGGAAGGATATTGCAAAATCTCCATTTTCACCCCACTCTGGGGCCAGCCAGAGGTGGTATTTGCCGGTTCTCCGAAAAACTCAAAATTTCCGCTACTGGTTCTCCAAACTGCTCAAAATTTCCACTACCAGTTCTCCAGAACCTGTCAGAACCTGCTGGATTTCACCCCTGAAGCAGGGACCCTGATGCACCCCAGGCTTGGTAGCACAGCCAGCTCTTTAAAGCTTTATGGAAGGCTAATAGGGTTGAGGCCATTCCAATCTACGAAGGGAGGATGTTCCACAGAGCAGGACCTGCTGCAGAAAAAGCTCCTCTTCTAGTCCCTGTCAGCCGACATTTTTGGCTGACAGGATCTGTAGCATTAAGTGAATACGGCAGTCGATAAGTGAACCCAGTGTTCACTATGGGACAGCTTTTGCCACAAACTGGAAGTAAATGCTGTTTTTCAGCAAAGACATTATAAATTGCATTTCTGTGACCACGGCGGGAAATCGGAACTTCAAAACCAGGTTGTAATTAGCTTTCTCGGGGTCCATTGTCACTTTGAATGGTCACCAAGCAATTAGTTGTTAAGAACTACCTGCCTCATGTTTTCAGAGCTTGATTTGACTCTAAATAAAGCAGTTTATTGGCATGCTAACTCTAATAAAAGAGATTAACAATAATCATCACACTGAGTTATGACCAATGATAGCTCAGAATGGTTCTGTCTCCTAAATTTCCTTTAGATACTGCAGTACCCACCCCCTCCATCCAAAGCTGATCTGAGATACAACTTTGAGAACTATATGAAAGAAGGGGTGGATATCTAATAACAGATCCCCAGAAAATACTTTCTGCTACTACAAGCTGACATTTGATACAAGCCAGTGAAAAGAAAATACACTGCATAAATATAAAAGTTTCTAAAGAAAATAGGGTTTTACCTTAATCATCAAAGACATGGTGTCATTACCGTAATAATGCAAAGAACTGCCCTGATCCTGCAGGTTGTACTTGAAGCCTGTCACATGAACTTCAGTACATATATCAAAGGCAAAGGCAATGGCAATTAACCCTGTTGTAGGATGTTTTGGTCTCTAAAAAAAAAATCAAATTATAAATATATTTGATTTGCAAACAGATTCACGTATGTCAAACCACATTTGTATTTGGAAGAAATACGGCAAATTCTATACCTGCTCGCTAATCTATCTAGTGTTGACTATGGTAAACCAAGCGTAGGTAACTCCTTTGATGAATAGATATTATATTTCTTGAATTTTTGAGACTTAGGCAAAAATACAGAAGGTAACAATACTACATCAGTGGAGGCTCATTATGTAGTAGATTGACTAATTGCCTATTTTAGGACGTGTTTGTTTTCAATATACATCAGTCCTTGATAACTACACAATACTTTTTATATGGTTGTTATTTCAAAATGGTAAAAGACTTTGATTTGGTAACCGGGAGGGCCTTTGGAAGCCACAAAAGACAAGGAATGAAATCAGTAGTGGGTTGCTACCGGTTCGCCCCGGATTGGGCGAACTGGTGGCAGCAGCGGGAGAGGTTCCGCCCGGATGCTTCTACGCATGCGCAGAAGTGTCACGCACAAGCACGAACGCGCCCACAAGCGAACTGATAGCGATTGGATTTGAAACCCACTACTGAATGAAATGCTGTAGATTTTGCTCCCCTATAGAACATAGAGGTAAATGCAGAACTGTGCCTAAAACAGCTGCTTGTGTGGAAGTCTCAAGGAAGTGCAATTGTTGGGTATTTCGCACTTTGCTCACAATAACTGTTAGGCAGCATAGCTGAAATGCCTACAGGAGAGGCTTTCTAAGTGCTGAAATCTTTCCCAGCCTGTCTCTTTCAAATGCCTTTAACGGTTTTCCCGTTTGCCTTGTTGATATCAGTGTCATCTGGCCAACTGTCTACCTGGTTATTGTTGCTACAGCTTTCATTACTTTTGCACACCGTGAAGGAGCTTGCTTACTGGTCTGTGAAGCACTCCTGCTATTCTAAGTCCTCACCATGGGTAACAATCTCTGCTAGATGCTCAGGCATTGCTATAACTAAGCTGCAGCGGCCTGGTCTTTTCTTTATGATTCGCCACCCCCTCTGTTGGCTGTGAGCCTCATTCAGCCAGCTTTCTCAGCCTAATCTAATGAATAAGATAGTAAAGAAAAAATGGGTTGAAGAAAAATGGAAAAAGAAGCATATTTTAACATGAAAAATCTCAATCTTGACTCAGCAGATTCTGAAGACATACCCAGTTGTTTTTCACTCTGGTCTTTTCCAGAGTGAAAGTGTATCAGCCCTCTAAATAGGGCTACCTCACCTAGGCTGCAAAAATCTGGATGACTACTAGATAAGAGCAGAAAATTTGGTTGAAGAATCCATGTTGTCTGGATTACTTTGCAGAATTTAAAGAAAATGTGGAAAAAACACATTACTCATTATACCAGCAGTCCCAATTTTATGTTCAATTCTGGAATAGTGATACATTGGAACAATTTTAGAAGAGGGCTATCAAAGATGGTGAAGCCCTGGAAACAAAACCCTATGAGGAAAGGCTAAAGGGCTCAGGGTAAATTTAACCTACAGAAGAGGAAATGAAGAGCAATATAGACATCTTTAGCTATTTCAAGGTTGTGGCAGACTAAAGTGAACAGGCATTTTCTATTATTTCAGAACTAATAGGTTATACTATCAGGACCCAGATTCAACCTAGACTTCAGAAAGGACTTTCTGACATAAAACTACCAACTAGTAGAATAGCTTGCTACATGGAATGATGAATCCTACTTTATTTGGTTGTCTTCATACAGAAGTCCGATGGTCATCTATAGTGGATTCTGCACTAAGCAGAATCTTGGACTAGGTAACCTGCTTACTAAGGTTCACAAGCTAACTAAAGACAGTGGAAAAGCATTAAGATTATCTGCCTGCTCTAAATGACCTGTAACCACCAGTTATAGTTTTTCTATCAAGCAGAATAGCAGCACTTAATTTATTTTAAGAGCTGGTTCAGAACACCAAGTTCATATAAATGAGAAAAAAACCCTCCAGAATTGATAACATTCCTTGATTCCACTTTTAAAGTAGCCAATTATCATTTAATATGGATCGTTCAGATATGCCAGGAACCAGTAGATTGTCTCAGTTTAGTAAAATGGCCTCCTAAATCGGAATTGCTAAGAAGAATGTAAAAGTTGTATTTACTCACTTATAATGGAAGATAAATATTAAGATATGGGACTATTACCTAAGGGCATAGTTATTGCTATTGATTTGGGTATGTTACTATAGGCCCGTGATGGCGAATCTATGGCAGGGGTGCCACAGGTAGCACATGGAGCCATATCTGTGGGCACGCGAGCATTGCCATAGCTCAGCTCCAGCATGCATGCGTGCGCCAGTCAGCTGATTTTTGGGCCTTCCGGTCCCACCGGAAGTTGGAAAATGGACTGTTTCTGATCTCCGGAGGACTTCTGGGTGGGTGGGGAAGGCCGTTTTTGCCCTCCCCAGGCTCCTAGAAAGTCTTTGGAATCTGGGGAGGGTGAAAAACAGGCCCACTGTGCCATAGCATGCGAAGAGGGGGGGGGGGGTGCGGGGGGGGTGCGCACGCATGTGTGGGAGCAGGGCACATTGAATTATGGATGTGGGCATGCACATGGGCAACCTCCCCGGGCTCCCCCTGCTTTTGGCATGCAACGGCAAAAAGGTTAGTCATCACTGCTATAGGCTAATAATAATAATAATAATAATAATAATAATAATAATAATAATTACAATTTTTATTAGACAATAAATGGAACTAAAATGTATAAAATTGAGACTATATAAATATTTGTTAGTATCAAATGAATTGATTCCATTAAAGTTCAGTTCGTTTTTTAAAATTCTACAACTATATCATTTAAAATGAAAACAGTTATGTAAAATAGTAATCCAAACCAACATTTAAAAATACAAATATGCACTTTTCAGGGATTCTTGCATTTTTTAAAAAATTAAAGATTCTGCAGCCTGAAGGTGCTTGAAACCTTCTGCTTAAATAACAAGTAAAAGCTTTATTAAATTATATATTTATATTACATATATAATTATATATTACATTACAATTAGTGCTCAAAGTTCTAATGAAAAACCAGTGAGATGTCTGAACAATTTTGTGTATTTATGAATTTTATTGTTGGCTATTCACCGCCCTGAGTCCTTCGGGAGTAGGGCGGTATACAAATCAAATAAACTAAACTAAACATCAACAAGAAATCTCAAGTTAAATTATCTTGAGCCAATATCTCATACTTTCCTTCAACCTACCCAATTTCTCAAGATTAAGAGGATAGGATAAAAATAATATGTACCATTCCCAATGCCTGGGAGCGAAAAACAATATAGAAATATAATAATGTACTAATTTTGTTGTAATAGGTAGTCAACAGGAAACTTTGATTCAGCATTTACGATTACAATTTCTTAGCCAATATTATTGAAATTGTCATAGTAAAATACATACTCCTCGTCTAGGGAATTTTCTGGGGAAATGAAGCAATTCATATGCTGTTCTTTGAATAATAAATGGATCAAGGATTCTGATTTGTTTAGGCTTATAAATCATCCTCGTTGCTGGCTTCTTCCAGAAGACATCAGTTGCCTATGGACAAAAAGCATGCCTTTAATAGGTTAAAGCTATACTTCCATAACAGAAAAAATGTGCCATTGTAACAGAAAGAAATATACAATAGTTCTAAAAAAAGATGCAGTAGTCATGTTTTCTGATTCATACTGAAAACATAGTGAAAACATACCCTGATTACATTAAGGAAATGGAGGATAATGAACTTTATAAATGGGAAAACGTTAGCAATATGATTTTTCATTAACTATAAGGCAGTGCTGATCTGCAATGAAATCCTACAAAACTGAGAAAAGATTACCATCTTTTCTAAAAACTATAATCAAGTATCAATTTAAAAAATCCTCCAAACTGGCAATTTTCCCCTAAATGCAGAATGTGTCCAATATCTCTTACAACCCACTACAATTGGGAAATCTACATCTCTAAATCCCACCATTAAACTCATAATGGTGCTTTACAGAGCATTTATACAACATATTAAATGGGATTGTCAACTCTTGAAATGACTTTATCTGAAGCCATATTCTCTTCTCTTCGTTTCTTAATTGCCATATATATGGGGGGAGGGGGGGGAACCAATGGAGTGTGAAATGTTTTCTTCTAATGTTCCAGATATAATAGCACTAGGGCTCGTGGGAACCAAGGTCATCTTAACAAGTGCTTGTAACAGCTGGAGGGAGCAGCCGGGAAGCATACCACATGGGGAACATCTATTCTTTTAATTCTATAAAACCGTGGGAAATATTTAGAGTTGGATTCACACCCGAACATGTTGATATGATGTACCCAAAAAAGGAGATCTTTGAGAAAAGCTACAGCTTCAGAGTCCTGAATTGATTGGGATTATTACTCGGAACCATCCCTACATCCCAATCCATCAACTCTTGATCACTCTTCTGCAATCCACCATAACCCATATAGAAATTAATCTTGGAGTGTTCATTGGAAGGGTTCACTATCACATTAATGTGCTCTGTCACTGATGCCCCTGCGCTTTGTCCTCACTACAAATGGTGGTTCAATACAGGCAATTTTGTTTCTCATAGAACATTGCTGCTCCCTATCACCTCAAAACTACCCAAGTGACTTCAATCCTTCAGCAACCAGGCCACCTAGGTCTTCTCTATGTCTATGAAGATTCTTAGTCACCCATGTCATGATTGTACCAAAGGTGCTTTTTCATCTTGAAGATGTTTCACTTTTTGTCCAAGAAGCTTCTTCAGTTCTGACTGAAGAAGTGTCTTCAAGGAAAAACAAAGTCTAGTTGCCTTTTGATCTTTAGATCTTCACTACTGTCAGCCAGGATACCTTAGCTCAACACTCTGATCCTCATTTGAAACAGATACGGGGAAGGAGGAGGATTACTAACTTAATATCTGAACACAGATTTTCAGTTATCTAGGTGAATAATATGTCCACTTGGTCTCATTGAAAAAAATGAACTTGACACTAAGAGCAGACCTTTGTTGTTGGGTCTATCTTCCAACAGTACCTCAAACAACAGGAATTCAGAGGACCTGATCAAAGGAACAAATCTAAGGGCCACTATTCCATTCTGATTTCTCAGACTCACTCCCTTCTGCTGGTTGGGTGAAATCATTAAAATGAGACTTAGCCTCAGCATTAGTCTGCTTAAACTCAAGCCAGGTGAATCGTCAATCTCCTTCCTACTTCCTGCTTCTTGTTTGCACTCTAAATTTCCATTTTAACTGTGAGGCAAAGACACAAAACGCCATTCTGCCAGCTCCAGCTAACTCTATTCCAGTAAAAAAAATATCCTCAATATAAATCTTTGGATTTCCAAAAAAATATTTCTAGGAATATTAACTTACAATCTAGCACAAAAAGAGTTTATCAATATCTGAAGCACCTTCCTTTCAAGAGAAGCAAGAAAGGGGATTTTTAAGGAATCTGCTCAAATTTTCTAAACTTTATTATCAGATTTCCATCTGTCTCTTTTTTATTCAACTCAAAGTGGCATACATAATATTCCCACTTATTTTTTCCATAACAACAACTCTGCGAGGTGGGTTGAAAGTCCATCCATCAGCTTTTTTGACCAAGAACCTGAACTCATGATTTCCCAGTTTCTAGTCCAACACTTTAACCATTATATCAAACTGATTGTTCCAAGTTACCTTGTCTGTATCCAGTCTTTTTTTTTCTCCCTTTCCCCATCTTTTAAAAAAGTAATATTCTTAAATTGTAAGTGGATTTTTACAATATTAATTAATATAGTCTATAAGGGTTATCAATATTTTATTTGGGAAAAGGGGAACATCATTATTATTATGAGATTTTTAGTCCAAGTTTTTACAATACATTTTATTGTATGTATGTAATACAATATATTAACTCAAGGATACGTTATAAATATTATACAGTATGTTTTTATTTAATTCACTAACTTCATCTATGCAAAGAGTGTATTTAATTGATGCAGGAAGCAGATGAAAAAAAAAATGAAAAAAAAATATAGATAAACAATTATCTTTGCATGATTTCTGCTAGTTGAAGGAAAGGTCAAAAAATATATTCCAAAAGTACTAACCTAAAAGAGATCATTCTTACTTAGGACAATTCCCCATGGTTGTATACAGCAGTATATAAATGAACATTGCATTAAGCATAGCTACATGTTCTTGTGATTTAGGCATACTGTAAGAACAAGCCAATCCTGCAATAATGCAATTAATATTCTCAACCAGTACCCACTGCAAAGTGCTGTGTCTCTTTATGGTAAGGAGAAGCAAGAGAAAATTTAGATGCATTGTCACCGCACTGAACTTACCATTATATTATGGCCACTTAATATGTCTGAAAGCCATTTTAAGTCATGACGCTTGAAGACAATAAAGACTGCAGTGGTTTTAGGATCATAGTGAAGTGGATCTGAAAAAATTGACTCTGGATAGAAAAGTCGGAATGTCGTCCTCCTTCCAACATCATCTTCATAGCCTTTAACAGGCCCATTATTCATTCTATTCAGGAAAAATATTATTAATAGTTATGAAAAATCCTGCTTTTATTTCTGAAGTACAACTTTAAGACTGCATTTAAAATCAGAATTTGTTCTAATATTGATTAAGTCTGCATAGTATGCAGATTTTACCTGTAAATACATAATAGATGAATATGACAACAGGAGAGGTTTCACTGAAGCAATATTAGGTTACATGCCTTAACTCAATTGTTGGAATCTTTTGCTTTTATTTTTAGGAGCAGCTTCCTTTGGGAGAAATCTGTCAAGGGACATAGAAGAACCCAAATCCCCCTCTTTTTTAACATTTTCTGCTCTCCCTCTTTTTTGTCTTTCTACCAAGCAGATTACTAAAGAATGGACTATCTTTGACAGAAGTCAAAACTGATGCACAAGGCATTTGACATGAAGCAAAACATTGCATGGATTTATTGAAGGATGCATATGATATAAAAACTAGCAAGTCAGTCATCCTTGATTTAGTTTCTATTTGCTATCAGAAGAATCAATATATAGATTAAGTCCTTTTGCAGAAAATTTTTCTGAACCATGTAAGCTGTTCTGTAAGCTATTTGAGCAACACAAACATAGGATGCAGGAATGTCGCAAGGGAACAGTACCCACAGTAGTTACATTTCCTGTGGTTTCCTATTTCTTCTTTAGCTTAACTGAAACAACTGTACTTTCTCATAATTTCTTCCTAAAATATTATGTAAAGTATTGAATATACAATCTTGAAATTATTTCTCCTAAATAAACTTTTTTATTCTGTCTTTGCTTTACCTACCGCCTAAGGTAATCTTTTTCCTAGTGTATATTTCAATTAAGTTACGCATTATAACCAAACATATGAGACTGATTGTATCTTTAAGGCAACAGCTGCTCATGAAAAGTTATCACTATTAAACCTAGTTAATTTTGAAGGTATAGCCAGTCTTCATGTTTACTATTTTGCTATAGACTAACACAGTTATGTACCGTATTTTTCGGATTATAAAACGCACCTGACTATAAGTCACACCTAAATTTAGAAGAGGAAATAAAAAAAAAGTTTTTGGCCTCCGCACATCCTATTTTCAGGCCTTTTTTCGGCCCAATTTAAAGGCTTTTTTCTTCCCGTTTTCTAGGCTTTTTTCAGCCCATTTTCAAGGCTTTTTTCTGCCCGTTTTCTAGACTTTTTTTGGCCCATTTTTGAGGCTTTTTTCAGGCTGTTTTTTCTGAAAACATTCAGAATTTTTTTTTCTGAAAACGAGCCAAAATAAGCCTCGAAAATGGGCTGAAAAAAGCCCCAAAAATGGGCCAGAAAAAGGCCTGAAAATGGGCGTGCAGAGGTAATATTTGGTCTATAAGACACACAGACATTTTCACTCCTTTTGGGAGACAAAAATGTGCATGTTATAGTCCGAAAAATACGGTATTTTGTTTGTAACTTTAAAAAAACAAATAAATAAAACAAAAAGTGAGGTAGGAAGGAGCAACCTAGGATGTCATCAATCATAAATTAATCATAAATTTAATCATAAATTAAATAATCATAAATTAAAAGGAGATATTCTACTTTGCATAATAAAGTATCAGTTATAAATTTATCCATGAATTTATTACACAGTATGCCTTTACAGGTAATTCTTCTTGTCAGGCGCAAGAAGCCAAAAGCTGGGATAGAATTCAAAAGTACTATGTCTTTATTTCACGCTGCCTATGCAAGAATCTGTTTTACTAATGGTCAAGGCAAACTTTGTGCTAAATAAGAGTCAATGGAATTTATGGGGGCTAGACCTAGATCTCTTGTGAGAGCATAGTGACTCCAAACTGATGATGCATTTGACCTTGCCTTCAGGGTTAATCTGGTCATCTCCTACACTTGTTTAATCACTACAACTGGGATCAGTAACCCCATCGCTAATTGCCCATCAGTTATTAAGTGAGATATTATATGTCTGCAATGGACTTACAACCTCACTTCCACTGTAATTGTTAAGCAAATCACCCACACTCATTAAATAAGACACTTCATAACTGCTATTTGTGATTTTATTCCTGACTTCTCCATTGATTCTGCTTGTTGGAAGTCAGCTGTGAAGTATACAAGTTGTGATCACCTCACTGTGGGTAATTGTTAAATGCGAAGACAGATCATAAAGTTACTTTTTCAGTGCTAACATCATTTCAAATAGTCTCTAAACTGAGGTCTACCTGTATATATTGCATTATGCCATATTTCAGTATGCCATTTCCTGCCTCTTTTCCTTTTCCTGCCCATACCCATAATAAAACTAATGACAAAATACTTGTTTTCACAACAGAAAGTTTCTTTACCTAATTACCACATCGTAAGAATCAATTTTTTGACCCAGCTTCTTGTTTCGAAGGATTCCTCCATTGCCAACCACAATACATTTTTTACAGGGTGGGCTGTTGAATGATAAGAACACATCTATTAAGCATTATACAATAAATGTGTGTTTATAAACAGAAGGGCAATGTTAAATGTAATTTAATCAAAATATTATTACCATCAATGTTCATATTCAGATGCCCTGAAGATGAGGAAGGAGACAAAGTGATACTCTCTAAACTTTAAGGATAGAAAATCAACCTGCTGCTGCAGATTAAATCTATTGGATTTGAAATGGGTTTTTAAGCAGCAGGTAGAGCTCCCCAACCAACATCATTCCTGACAGTTTCTCATTTGTAAGCACAATTTCTGAAGCTATTTTCCCATTAAACTAAAGCAAAAAGGGAATGGAAAATGGATCTGGGACACTTCGTTTAAGCCACACAAGATGTACAAAATCACAAGATCCGTTTTATTTCATTTTACATTTTTGTTCATCTTGCACAATAGATAAAGCTATGTTAGGTAAAAATTTGCTACTTTTAAAACTACATTTTCATGTCACTTAATTCATAGAGGGAGAAGGAAGAGACCTTATATGAGAAAGACTGCCAAAGAAAAAAGGAATCTGCAACTTTGGAAAGCCCCTTAAACTGGCTTCCTAAGTAGTTTTCAAATATAATGTCATAATTTTAAGTTTCACTGATTATACTATCAATTCAAGAACTGTTAAAAGTATGAAAACAATTAATGCTTCTGCTAATGAAAAAAAAATCTGCAATTAAAATTCTATTACGAAATACAAAAAGCAATATTATATCATAAAATGCATGGATTTTCTTACAAAGATCTCTAACATCACATAAAAGATATAATCTTCACCTGTTATCTTCCGGGAACAGGTCACAGCTTTCAAGTTTTGAAAGTGCAAGTTGAAAATAGATTTCTGTAACACAAACTTTTTATTTAAAAAAGAACCAGCATTTTATTGTCCCAACAAAATTCAGCATAATTGATTTGAGTATAATTTGTTGTTGCTGTAAAACTAAAGTGCACACAGAGCAGATTTCTGTGCAGGAACTTTCTTTTGAATTTTTAGAGCTAACAAAAAATAAGGCCACCTCAATCCAGCTACCTGCATCAACATGGCTTGCAAGCAGGATTTAAGCACCACATTCAACAATCAGGAATGTTATTCTGAGGCAACTCTCATTGCATCATATAAAAGACATGTCTAGAAGCAGAGTAATCTCTACTTACAAAGATATGCAATTATATTCCTAAACACATAATCACAATCAGACTAAACATATTCCACACATTTTATCGCCTTCTCAATGAGTTTCAGCTGCTGCTCAAATATACATAGTGGAAGCATTTGCTACATAATTATAAGAACTGGCGCCCAATATGTGCAAATTCTCAGCATTGAGGTAATGGTCTTGTTGAGATACATATGACTTATGCTCAGTATATTCTGCTAGCGGGCCTGGGGAACCCAGAGCAGGATGGCGCCCATTAAATGGCTCATGTGATCTGCTGTCGGCAAAGCAGGGGGTGGGAGGGAGGGGGTGATTTTGTTATATTGCACTATATTAATTTGATTCTTTTTGTTAGTTTTTATTGTTTTAAATGTGGTTTTATATTCTGTAAGCTGCCTTGAGTCGCCATGGGCGAATAGGCGGCAATATAAATTCAATAAATAAATAAGTAAATAAAATAAATTAATATAGATACAAGACGACCTCACCAATATTACAAATGAAGAGAGTACAAGAAAACAGTTCCTGCATCTTCTAATTTTACTGCCGAAGCATGTTGTTAGTTTATATTTCACTCTATCTCTATCCAACAACACTTCTGAAAACACTATACCACTGAATAAAAATGAAGTACACATCTTTCATAATTGAACCCTAACTGTATACTGCTGGTACTATGTATAAGTATATGGCAGTGGTCCCCAACCTTTTTGGCAGCCAGCACCAGTTTCATGGAAGACAATTTTTCCACTGACTGAGGTGTGGGTGTGGATATGTCTCCCTAGTAACATTAACATGCCAACACTTACTTACCTGAATTCCTTACTCCATAAGGTAGTTCAAACTTATTACTTCCACGACTTGCAGATGTATCATAAAAATTACTTTCGCACAAGAAAGGACAGAAATTATCCATCCTAAAGAGAATGGAAAAATACTTATTTGTATTTATGTGGCTACTTTACACTGTTTTTCAGACTGCCTATTTCTCACCAACTAAACTCTTACTTTAATATAATTAAGCAACAAAAAAAAGTCAAAAAAGGCAAATAGCTATTGTAATAGACATACATACATAAAACATAACAATATACTGAAATAACAACAACACAGACACATTTTTAAAACAATTATTCCAGAAATTGAACAGGCCATTTCTCTGATAACCATATTGTCTAATGAAATGTGTTGAATAAGATAACCAGGCATCTTACTAGGATCTCAGTATAATGAAGTAGACCCTCACATGAACATTTGAATGTGCATATTTGAATTATCAGACCAAAGGAGAAATATAGTCTTTAAAACAGAAAAACAAAAGTTGGCTCTACTGCTAATCAGACAAAAGTGAAACCATCATAGAGAAATAGCTATTAATCAGAAACAAAGACTAAAACAAGATATTTATTAAAGGAATTTATTAAAAACAAATCATATATATAAGCTGAGCTGGGACACCATATCATGTCAGTTCAGTAAAAGATTCGTGCAAAATTTCCATTAAGCAAAGTGCAAAAGTTTCAGCATCTCTGGGTAGGGCTAAACAGGTTTTTGAAAAATCCTACTGAATCTTGTACCGTAGCTTCTATATGAAGATTCAGGATAGCGTACTTTCAGTGCCCTATAGTTTCTAATCCTGTTTCTTCAGAAAGCGAGAGTCCAGAAGGACCAGTAAAAGGTCTAGGAGAATCAACAGAATAAATCTTCATATCACTGACAAGAACTATTTTTGTTACCAAACCAGGCATGAATTATGGAATGGATTCAAATAAACAATCTCCTTTGAAATAGCATTGTAAGGAGAAGATACTGCCTGCTCTAAGAATTTGCTCTAACATAGTACACTAGGTCCTGGGTAATACTTATTCTGGTCAATTAGACAAATTAGGAATTCATTATTTCAACTTTCAAGACAAACGGATTCATCCCCCCCCAGAGATACGGAGGATCCCGGATCTGCGCACATTCCACCGCGCTTTAAAGACCTTACTATTTCACCAGGCGGGCCTGGCCTAATTTTCTCCCTCTTTTATAAAAGATTTTTAATTTTTAAATATCTTTTAGTATTTTATACATTCAATTTTAAAATTGGTTTTAAAAAGTTTGGGTTTTAAATTTGTTGGGGCCAAAATTATTTAATTTGATTTTATTCTACTTTTAAATTTTGTATGTATGTGTTTTATTGTTTGGCTGTGCACCGCCCTGAGTCCTTCGGGAGTAGGGCGGTATAGAAATCAAATAAAATAAATAAATAAATGAATGAATGAATGAAGCAAATGAAATGCCCTGCACCTGTAAGCAGTTTGTCCACATGTTCAGATGTACAATGTGAAATATATTTATAATAATCTAATCAGACCAGGTATTTTATTTCTGGCCCTCAGATAATGTATATATACATCTGTGCACACTTTTTAATCAGGGTTGATTAATTATGACTGCCTAGATTAGTCTCTGCGGTTATCTTGACAAGATTACCAAGAAAGCAATGGCAAATGATTTGCGACAGTCTTTTGCCTAGAATTGAGAGTGACTTCCCAGGTTACATTCATGACTAATGTGGAACTAGAACAGAGTTTCCCGATCTGTTCCTTAACTACTACACCAAACTGGCTGTTATGTGTTGGGTACAACTATGAAATAGCTTTATTTCTGTAAACTGAAGATGGACTTTTAGAACATTGTTGTTATATCAATTAACGATGTCATTTTATTGTTTGAGAAGTTGGTGACTTCCCAAAAATTTTAAAAATTGTTTTTTCAGAATAGGAAACACCTATGTAGTAAGCATTTTTCAAACAGTTTCCTAACTGCTGCAAAGTAATAGGGTAAGAAGTCCATGAAGGCTTCAATATATGTGAAGTAAATAACTACTACTTAAGGATAAATATATTCAATGAAAATAATGCTAAAATTGTGAACATGTATTTTATTTTTTAAAGATTAAGTTTAAAGAAGTTAAACTTTTTTTTTAAAGATTATACCTTATTTCAATACCCCTTATATTTGCAACAAGCAGGTGTAACAATATGTTATGATATGTCCATGACAAAACAATATGCACAAAGATTTGGGATTAAGGGGTAGAATTAAGGCTATATCTGGTCATGTCTGGCTTCTTTAACTATTTAAGGAGTTGACCAAATATATGCAATTGCCAGTGTTAGCCCTTCAGTGTTAGGGCATTTTTATTCTGCAAAATTCAGTTTGTAAATTCATAGAAATTTCATCAGACCTTTTAATGTGCACACCATACACACACCTAAAGTGGTTAAATCAGATTTTTTTTTGTCACTGCTTATTTGTGTTTATTAGTTGCAAGGAACCCATATTTGAAATTTCTAAATAGATGGTCCATTCCAGCGGTGAAATGTAAAATGTGTTACTACCGATTCTGTGGGCGTGGCTTGTTGGGGGTGGTAATGTTTTTTTTTTTTTTTAACTTTTCAAAGCATTTTTTCTAATGCTTTGAAAAGCCTCTGCCGATCAGGCAACTTAGCTGGGATTGTCAGAGAAGCATTTTAAAAAATACCTCTCTGCCAATCAGGCAACTCAGCTGGGATCGTCAGAGACTTTTCAAAGCATTTTTTTTTACCACCTCTTCAGCCAAGAGGTTGCAGAAAAAAATGCTTTGAAAAGCCTCTGAGGATCCCAGCTGAGCCGCACGATCATCAGTCTTTTTTTTTTTACTTTTAAAAGCATTTTTTCGTTGGAAGGTTGTAGAAAAAATGCTTTTAAAAGTGGGGGGGGGAAAGCCTCTGATGATCGTGCGACTCAGCTGAGCATGGGGCGGGGGGGGCACAGGGATTTTTGCTACCGGTTCTCCGAACCACCTGCCGCCATTGCTACCGGATCGGGTGATCCGGTCCGAACCGGGAGCATTTCACCCTTGGTCCATTCTCTCTGTCCCTCTCTCTCTGTTCATTCATTTTTTAAAAAAATATAATCCAATGTGTGTCATCCTCAAAATCTGCCATGTGCTACTTTCCTTCAACTAGTGTTCACACAATTCTGCAGGTTACTCAAGGCAGTTGCAGGTCACATGAGGTCTTTATTTTTGAAATGGCTTTAGAGACTGCTCTTCTGCAGTCTCTAAAAACCATGCAAAAGTTTGGCCCATTCAGCTCCGGAGACTGCATGAGAACACATCCCATTCTCATGTAATCCTCACAGCCTCCAAAAGTTGTGTGAGAATGAGGCATCTATTTAGAAATAGATAGAACTCTTGAGGAAAGTTATTGAGTGTTGGTGAATACTGGCATATCACCCAAAATGTCATGGAGTGTCACCTTTGACACGTGTCATAGGTTGCCATCACTGTACTAGATCTAGTATAGCTTGTCTAGGAGAATACTTCCTATGTTATTCATTATAGAAAATAACTTCCATGAAACTAAGCTGAACTTGCACCATATAACAACTCTGTGGGCATATAAAAATTGTTTTGTAATAGCCACTGGCATTTGGGGGGGAGGCAAGATGGGCAGAATGCTAAAAATAGAATTGTGACATAAATCCCATCCCTTCTGTATATACATCCTTACACAACACATATGTATGAAAGGAACAAAGCTTGCTGTGTGGAGCTCAATGCTGGTTTCATTCATTCTGATATAAATAGCAAGTTCCTATAGCTAGCTATGCTGGCAGCACATGGCTTTAAAATGCTACTATTTTTCACAAGTGAAACCATGCATTCCTTTAGGACAGCATCACCTGACAAGATTATTAAGGAAGAATGGAAGCATGAACAGTATTCATACATACAAGTCAACAATTTACATTTTAGAAATGCAGGAACAAAGTTATCCATTACAAAAATAAACTAAAAGCGCACTCCTACAGGTGAGAAAAATTTGCGGATGTAAAGACATTTATACTAGTAAAAGTCAGAAGTCAAACCTAGCAGTTACATATTCAAACCTTGTTTCTAATGACAAAAGAGATTCTTGTAGCTATTTCTGAAGAAAATGGACTTGGAATGTTCTGAGTCAATATTATATTGGTTCAGATATGGCATAGTTCAATTGATATTGGTGCATCAACTTTTCCAGATTATAGTAATCTATACTCTAGAGCAGGGGTCTCCAAACGTCTTCAATCATGCTGGCTGGGGAATTCTGGGAGTTGAAGTCCACAAGACTTGAAGTTGTCAAGTTTGGAGTCCCCTGCTCTAGAGTTTTTAGTTGTTGTGCCTTTGGATAAAATCTTGATTAGTAGGCAATTGAATCTAAGTTCTCTCTTGACTCAATAAGGGTCATGGTTGGTACCTTACATCAATGTGGACAGTGCTGAGCTCATTCCTTCAGGGGAATGTAACCCTATCACTAACCTAGATAATCATTTCCATCACTTTCTTTTCTTACTCACTTTATGAAACTGGAAACATTGATTTTGAAATTGCAATGTTTTCTGTTGAAAGAGGACAATCTAAAAAAGGAAGGAGAGACTGTATTAAAATAGATTGACAGAAGGTGAAGATTCCATTTTATTTATATAAAATTTGTTAGTTAAACCTTCTAATGCTTTTTAGAAATAGGTAATTCCATTGGTAAAAATCTAAAGAGCAAATTGCCAGATACAAACAATACTACCTATTTCTTTCCAAGTAGATTTAGCAATGATTTATGATCATTGCCAGATATACTTGGAGAGAAATAAGTAGTATTGTTTGTCAGTAGGAAAAAATTATACTTAGAATTAATCATCATCAAGTTGAAAAGGATTTTAGAAATTATTTATTCCCTGGGTGTCAAACTCAATCACGTTACATGATGTATCACAATGTTTTCTTGCCTTTGCGGAGCTGGGGTGGGCGTGGCTGCACGTGATACATCTGGCCCGTGGGTTGCTAGTTTGACACCCCTTATCTATTCCAACCTCCTTGCTAGAGCATCTCTGATAGATAACGATGCGGCCTCTATTCCAATACCCCTAGTGTTTTTATTTAAAAGTATTTATTTATAACCACATAATCCAATGGTCCTGGAAGACTCAAAAAAATGCAATTAGTAAATGTTTATTTACTATACTTGCCTGCTACTCATTCCTGGAGGTCCCAAGTGGCTAATGACAAAAAAATCCCTCAAGTAAAAATGAAGTCACTCATAAAGAATAATTTAAAAGTCTCAACATCATCAGATAGGACCAAGGAAAAATACATAAAGTCCTGGATTCACCACTATATCCTAACATTCAGAGTGCTTTCTATATGGTGAGGTATGAAAGTTGGCCTTAAAATGCTCCTCTGAAACCTGGGGAAGGGAGAGATCCTAGGCAGCGTCATTCATGAACTGCTGAAGCTGTTGTGCAACCATTTTTCTACCAACTTCCCTAAGAAAGGGAGGTTGGATGCTGTATGAAGATTGTCTAGCAATGGCTTCTTGCAGAGGGGACAAACCAACATCTGTTTAAGAGATAGACAAACAATCCCTTCTCTAAAGGAAGAATTTGCCACCACCAGAATTCAACTACATGTCACTTCCTGGGCATCCTTAGCTAGTCAAGAGGAACATGGATCTAATGAGCAAGGGGCCAAGCTCACAATTATAAGGTACCTGTCCACCTCCTTTGGCCCAACAAGTTCAAACCATTTCCAGATAACATGGAAGTCTATGGCCAAGGCATCTCCATAGGACCTACACCAAGACTGACATCTACCTGGGAAAGAATCCATGTGATTTTGTCTGATAGATGCCTTGCAAAAACCCAAGAGGGCTTAGGTTAAACAGAGCTATCAGACAGCTATCTGCAAACACAATATGGGTGAAGAAGTACTGCCCTGACAAGACCAAGGCAGCTCTAACCCATGTTCAATTGAGTTCATCTTTCACTGATATCCAGTGACACTCTAGACAGTTCTTCTCCCATTTCCTCTGCCTCAACTATTTCATAAACCATGAACAGTGATGAGAGCCATAGGAGGAAAGAGGTTGCAGGGTGCAATGCAGTTCAAAGCCTTGGCACCCTCTCATTCCAAGAGATGACCAAGGCCAAACTTTATTTTGGACCATACAGCAGACCACCTGGAAAAAACCCCAACTCCCTCTGGAACACATCTGGGACCATAAATTAACAAGGGTTGACAGATTTAATAGGTCCCACTGCAGGGGGCAGTGCCAGAGTATCTCATGGTTACCAGGGAATAACTTGACTGTAACAAATGCAGTTTTGCACAAATCCAATTTATACACTGGGGGCAGTTCAGTAAGGCCATGTAGCACAACTACTTTGGGAGATACACCCTCTCTCAAAAGGCTTTTTGGTATAATTCAAGGGACTGGTTATTACCTATAAAATTCTTCCAAGCACAAGACTGGGTTATTTATGGAGATTCCCGTTTCCAACTGCCTCTGTTGGTCCCATAAGATCTGGCAGAACACTTGGTGAGACCCATGTCACAGTGCTTCACCTATGGAACACCATTTCCTCTGATATCCAAATAGTTCAAGAAGCTCAAACTGCCCAAGGAGCTGCTGATCCAGTTCTACAGAGGAATTATTGAGTCTGTCATCTGCACCTCTATAACTGTCTGGTTTGGTTCTGCAACCCACCAAGACAGACACAGACTTCAGAGGATAATTAGAACTGCAGAAAAAACAACTACCGACCTGCCTTCCATTGAGGACCTGTATACTGCACGAGTCAAAAAGAGGACTGTGAAAATATTTACAGATCCCTCGCATCCTGGACATAAACTGTTTCAACTCCTACCCTCAAAACAACACTGTTGTGACTCCAGCCCCGGGGGCTGGTTTATCTTCGCACGCTGAGTCGGAGGATGATATGGAGGAAGCTGGCAAGAGCTATGTGCCGGAGGGGCCGTCTTCATTGGTGAGTCAGCAAGAACTGACAGTTGCTGACGTGCCTCTGGACCTCAGTCAAATTGAGGAGGAAGCAGAGGCCGGTAACGAGGAGAGGGAGCCCCTATTGGATGCAAGAGAGAGACATAGGAGACGTCGTAGAGAACAGCTATTGCCACGTCCCAAGAGGTGTGGTCAGGAGACGTAGAGCCACACCCTACAAAGTATAAAAGGGATGTGGCTGGGCCGGAAAGGCGTGGTGAACAATTCGTTGGCATTTTGGATGCAGTGGAGTTTAGAACTGCTAGTTTTGAGTTTTGAAAAGGAATCTGCATTTCTGCATTAGCTTGCTGGCCGTCTGCCAAGACCTCTGGAACATTGCCCGATAATTACTGAACTGATATACCTTTGGAACATTGCTGGTAACTACTGAACTGATATACTTTTGAAAGAGAACTGTTTATTAAAGGGCCAGCTTCAATCTCTCTAGCCTGCGTCTGTTACTGCCGTGCTATTTGAGCTTCTGCAAGGCCACTCGTGGCAGGGGACAGAACAGACTCTATAGAGCACTGCACACCAAAATAACTAGACACAAGAACATTTTTTTCCTGAAAACCATCACTCTGCTAAACAAATAATTCCCTCAACACTGTCAAACTATTCACTGATGCTGAATAAAGTGTCATTCATCTCTAAAAGGTGTTCCTGTGAAAATCAGGCACCTGAAAGAAGGGGGGGAAATCTCTGAGTTGGTACTATCTAGCAGCTGATAAACAAACTTAAAGGAAATGTGAGGGAATGAAACCAGAGTTGCTGTTTGTCAGCAAAGTGGTCTCTGCTTTTTAATATGCTGTCTAGATCTGCCATAGCTTTTCTCCCAAGGAGCAAGCATCTTTTAATTTCATGGCTGCAAATTGTCATCTGCACTGATCTTGGAGTCCAAGAAAATACAATCTGTTACTGCTTCTATTTCTTCCCTTTCTATTTACTAGGAAGTGATGGAACCAGATGCCATGATTTTAGTTTTTTTAATGTTTAGTTAGTTTCAAGCCCACTCTTTTTTACCATCATCAAGAGGGTTTTTAGTTCCTCTTCACTTTCTGCCATTAAAGTGGTATCATCTGCACGTCTGAGGTAATTGTTATTTGTACCAGCAATCTTAATTCCATCTTGTGTTTCCAGCACAGCATTTTGTATGATGTACTTTGCACATAAGTTAACTAAGTAGGGTGGAAATATATCACCTTGACTACTCTGTTCCTTATTTTGAACCAATCAGTTGTTCCATGTCTCCTTCTTGACCTGCGTAGCCTTGCCACTTAGTAATTCTGCACTGCTGCATTTCATTTTTGTCCTATCCTTTCAACAGCTTTGTTTTCTAAAGCAAACTAGTTTCTAGCTCCTGAATATCACAGGGATTGCAGAAGCCTTTCACATAGCTTAGCCACATGTATAATCAGGACAAAGGAAAAGATGGCTTTTCTAAGAACATATTGCCATTACCCCAAGCCGTTGGTCTTCCACACGTTGCTATGTAATACAGCATACATCACTCCAGCACCCAGGACAATCATTAATAAGATCTGTTTCATGACCAGCATACCTGAAACACAAATATTAAATGAGGCTTTTATCTCTAAAAGTTAATTGTGGGCATGTGTACAGTAGAACAGAGTTTATACTATTCACTAGTTATCTATTGGGTGATTAATTCCTTTATCAGACTTTAAAGCATAAGCAAATGGCCTCTATTTCTATAGGGCTTCTATATATAATGGTATTTATTAACTCTCTGATTATTACTATGCTGTGCCATTAGTTATACTTATTCAGGAGAGTTTAAATCAAACATTTTTTAAAAAATGCATTTTCTCACGGGGGGGTAGGGGGATATGACCCTGAACACACTGCTGATCTTCTGTATTTTGTCAAGTTTCAAACTTTGTATTTTGCTAAGAGAAAATTAACTCATTCTTTTCCCAAAGATATACAACATAATCCTCTTTTTGATGCATTCTTATAAGGGTTCAATAAATATGTGCATGCAAAATATTTGTCAACTTCGAACCGAACCTGGCAGCAGCCATTTTTCTGTTCCTCAGTTGCCACACATAGGGGAAAAGGGGAAAGGAGGTTGGAATGCCTTACCAGACACAACAGAGAACTTTCTCATGAGAACCAAGGTCATCTCTACTGGCAATGAATAAGGTTGGGGAAGGTGTGCCTGGAGAGCCCCCCAATTAACCCACTTGGCCAACGTGACCTATGACACTTGGGAATGGGGTTATTTTCTATTTTAATTATACTGAAACCACGGGAAAGATTTATAACAGTTCCAATGGTTGGTACATTCTGTGATCATTTGATTGCCATGAGTTGGTAATGAGTACAACCAGAATTGTCAGATCTGCCATCTTAAGTTTTACAACCACAACACATAGCAATGGCCTCGGTCATAAACTGAGGACTATCTATACAAAGAACTTAATGAGGGATAGTATATTACATTTGTATTGCCATAGGTGGATCTCCACTCTATAAAGAAACAATATGAAATGTTCTTGGATAAGTAATGAAACAGAAATATTAATTTAACTAGCATGTGCAATATAACATGTCTCATTTAATAAAACATTTGTACAGTTGTGTCTCAGATAACAGAAAATGAACAGAAAAGTTGTGTAGTTATTGATGCTCATACTGCAATAAACTAAAAATACTGAGAAAATTTGGGGGTGGGGGTTTCCATTTGAAGGAGCAGGAAAAAGAGAGGGGGGGAAATCAACTACAAGAATGACTAACTACAGAACTGACAACCATCTGCAGATACTACCCTTATCCCAATCAAGATTTGAATGAATTTCACTATTTAATGGAAAGGCACTGGTATGAGGACTGAGAATGCTAGAATAGACTAAGAGGATTAAAAGCAGAACAGCTTATCCTAGAAACTGGCAATAGAAAGAAAGAAACACAAGATACGATCAGTACACAAATGTCCAAATAAAAGGAGGTAGTAACTAAAGTGGAAGCAGAGGCTAAAAGGGAACAGGTTTTTTTGTTTTATTTTGCTTCAGGCGTGAGGGGATGGGGGTAAAAGAGTACAAACTTCCTAAAATGGGAAGGAAACTGTAGTACTGTAAAGGTACTAGAATGTGTCAAAGGCATTAATTAGCTAAAAAAAAAAACAGAAAAGAAAATGCTAATATTGCTCTTTCTGTATCTCAAACAACCCAACTGCATGTAATATTATCACTTTTACCAGTTGGATGGGCAAACTGAATACACACCTCCATAGATTGTTGCGCTGTGTCTAGGCCTAAATCTTCTTTTGCATTGCACCACTCCCTGTCCGTTTGTCTATCAGCACGTTACCATTCATGTGTTTCATTTTTTTGTTAACTGTTGCAGCCAATTCACATATAATAAGTAAAATCTGACCCAGATGTTCAACATACATGATATACAACCTCTTTTCCCTTCCATTGACACCATGTTCATCAAGCTCCAGAATATAGCAATAATTGTGCATAAGCATGCAGGGTTTTTGTATAGCCGAGTCTGCATTTTTTTTAGTTTTGTTCACATCTCAGCTATGGAATTTGAGTCAAAATCACAATATCAGTTTTCTTGTGTTTAACAGCCATGAAAGAAACCTTATTATCTCCTATCAGTATTCTAAAGCTTACTAATACTGGATGAAGTTGGTATTATTTAATAGCCACTTATAAGTTGAGCTATGGTAAAATAGTATTTCAACATTATATTCTAAGTAGGTTGATAATAGCTTAAAATACCTGCCAATTGCCAATTAATTGTCCAACGTCACTTTTCTGAGATGGCAGTCATATAAATTGGATAATAAATAAAATCTAAGAGCATACTGGTATAACTTTTTTCTTTGAAAGCATTCATTTTGGAAAACAGAAGTGTTGAACTAATTTCTAAACTGGATGTCTGAAATTCCTGAATTCCAGTGTTTTGCAAAAACATTTTAAAAGGTAAAATCAGAAGTATGTAGCACTCTCATATACCTGCTTGCAATCACTGGGGTGTTTTGAGATAGGAACAGAAAAAGTGCTGTGAAGATTCTCATTAAAACTGAACTAGTACCCCATTGGGGGAAATTATTCTGTGATACCCAGATCTTACTTTAATATTATCCAGTGTGTGGAATTTCAACTCGTAAAATAATGACAATATATGGATACCCTATCAATTTGCTGCAATTAATATTGCATAATATTGAACATTAAAAAGTCTATCGGAAAACACTTTTGGCATCTTTATAAAGTAGGCATCAATACCCCACCACAATTGTTTTTATGTTTAAAAGCAGCACAATTTCCATTTCCCATGATTGCTGAAGTTATTTCTTAATCCTGGACTGATTTATTTATTTAAAATGCTTTTATTCCACATTTTAAGAATAAAAGTCTTCCCAAAATAACCACACCAAAATAATGTTATGCATTATATTTTATAAGTACATATACAATATAATCTCACATTTGGTTAGATAGCTGGCTATATAAATTTCATTATTAAATTTGATTAATAAAACATTTATAGTTTTGGTAGTCTTTAAAGGAACAACAGGAATACATCAAATTACCAATTAGTATGGGGTCACTAATTATTTTAGAAACAAAAGATGACCATGTAGTGTTTATGCAGGAGTGAGATAATGACAACAAATCGCCCCTCCCCCCCCTTCATCAAAAAGCTCTTTCAAGATCTGGGAACTCCGCCTTTTCTCCCAATCAAAGCATTAGTGCAGGGGTGGGCAAATGTGACCCTTTTACAACCTGTGGACTTCAACTTGGACTTCGATTCCTGGCTCAGGAATTCTGGGAGTCGAAGTCCACAGGTCATAAAGGGGCCATATTTTCCCATCTCTGCATTAGTGGGTTCAGAAACAGTCAACATTCCCACCTCCTGAACAAACTCATTTAGGTGTAGCCATCTCTTTTAAAGGTCAGCACAAGTATTTTCTTAAAGATTGGAAGAGAACAGGCAGGTAACGTAGCCATTACAGGACTGAAATACTACAGAATGGTCCAGGCACAACTTTTAATCAGATGCATTCTACTCTACCAGAAGGTACCAAATTATTTTTAGATAGCTCAATAAATCGTGTTACAAATGCCTTGATGTACCAGAACATGTGCAACTGAGACAAAGATTGCCAAACCATAAAAGTATAACATCGAGTTTATTAATCTAAACTGGCAAAAACACTTTTTAGCAGCAGCCACCACTGCCATCTACTTTAACAGACAGCACAAATTCTATGAGAAAAATGTAAGCTCTGAATTTAGTGTTCAAAAAAAAAAAAACCTTTGTCCAGAACTATTCAAATGCTTCCAACCAATTTGACTTTCCTGACTATCTTCCAGTTTGCCTGAGATTAAGTTTCAATATGTTCAACCTTCTTCATTTTAGAATTTGAATATGACCTGTAAAGAAGATTACCTGTTCCTGAGTCCAGGTGAGGAACCTCAATCCACTAGTAAACCTTTTAAATTATTAAAAGGAAGTCAAAGCCTGGGATTTTTACTCCCACCTATAATTTACCAGTCAGATAGAACCAGGGGTGAAATGCTCCTGGTTTGGACTGTATCAGCCAATCCGGTAGCAATGGCGGCAGGTGGTTCGGAGAACCAGTAGCAAAAATCCCTGCCCCCCCCCCAATGCCCACCCAATCGCCCATTCGCCTGCTTGCCGCTTGTTTTAAAAAATGCTTTTAAAAGGTTAAAAAAAAAAGCTCTGAAGATCCCAGCTAAGCTGCGCAATTATCAGAGCCTTTTTCCCCCTTTTAAAAGCATTTTTTTTTACAACCTATTTAGGTTGTAAAAAAAATGCTTTTAAAAGTAAAAAAAAAAATTGTACGGCACAGCTGATCAGTGCCCCTCCTCCCGCACGATATTCTACTTACCCTCATGCCTCCTTTTGGTGTGCGTGGTGCGCACTGTGCATGCACGCATGCACAGCCAGCGAACCGGTAGTAAACCGGTTCAGATTTCACTTCTCGATAGAACCTTTATACTGCAATTATGAAGTTAAATTCATAGACACACAAGCAACGCAAGTGGGTGGGCAGAATTCTTTGTCAAACATGATACTTTATGCAAAGCAATTATTTACTCAGTCAAATTGCTGACATTTGCTTCCATTTATCAGTGTAAACTGGACATTCAGGGTTGATGCTCATAGCCAGTGATTTCTTTTAGAAAAATATTTCTAAAATATCTTTGTGCATGGAGTAAAACAAAGAATGCTGCCCGTTTATCTATACAGCACAGACACAGTTTGTGATTTCAGTAGAGGCAAACCACAGCGTCTTTCTTTTGATTCCTAAGATGAACTCAGCAAGTTTCTGCGTGTTTGATCTGGTTTGTTAGATGGTTTTGGATGAATGGATAGAGACAGCCTCAAATTCTATAAAGAAGGATCAAGGATGAAATCCAAAGGATTTTTAGGGAATAGCCAGGAACAGAATAGCTTTTTGTATTTTGTTTGAATATGTGTATTTATTTATCCAGCAATTAATGATTATGGAAGAACGGAAAACAAGACCTGATTAAAGGCAAAGAAATAGCT